AATTTATAAGCTCCTTTTAGCAATTGACTTACATGTTCGTCGGAACCAATATCATTTCCGAGAAGTAATGATAGTGCTGATCTATGCGAATTGAGACTTCCGTAAGAACAACCGACATTAAACTGGTCAGTCAAGAAGGATAAAAAAGGAGATATAGATGGTTGAAATGGATTAATATTTCTGTTGTCACAAGACCGCCACCATGCTTTATAGGTAACATTATACTGTTTTACCGTGCTATCGGAGAGCGATGCTAGCATGAGGTTGAGGGCCTCTGGTGGGCATCTTCGGGTGAAAGCTTGCCGGAGAGCCTCGCGGCACCCAAGGTAAGGCTCGCGTGTAAAGGGTGGTGTTCCCTGGAATGTGATCGTAAAAGATTCTTGTTAGGGTGCAAGAACAGAATATCAGATGCTAATAACCCTTGTAGTAAGGGGAACCAGGGCTGTGAAGGCCAATAAGGAAAAACAAGGATTCCGTGAGCCCTGTCATCCATTATTTTCCTTAAACAATTTAATATTATGGAAAATGGGGGGGAATGCGTAAAAATAACATACGCTCCAGTTTATAGTAAAAGCATCTACCGCCATTGCATCTGGATCCGGTCTCCAAGAAACAAAGTTTGTGCATTTGGCATTAGTGCGCGAGGCGAATAAGTCGATATTTAGGTGACCAAAATGAGACACAATGGTTTGAAAACTGGAAGAGGAGAGTTCCCATTCGGTGTCAGGGTTTATAACTCTAGATTCAGCGTCAGCCCAGTTTTCTTTAGTATTGACGTATGACGCGTAGATCCAAATTTTTCGCTTCTCACACCATTGCCAAATTTGCCGAGCGATCCCGTTTAAGTGGGGGAATTGTACCCCGCCCATGCGATTTACATAACTAATGGCTGTAGTGTTATCTACCCGTAATAGTATCGCGCAATTAGTTTCTTTAGATGCCAAGCTTTTGAGTCCAAGAAAAATTGCCAATAGTTCCAGATAATTTATATGGTAATTGCGTTCGCTAACTGACCACCCTCCGCGAGCGCGTTCTTCATCGCGCACTGCGCCCCAGCCGGTTTGTGAAGCATCTGTGTAGATTTCAATTTTATAGCCGGCGTTTCGCAGTGGATGTAATGTTGTTTTGATGTTATTGGTCCACCAAGTAAGATCTTCAAGGATAATACTAGGTAAATTGATTTTACTCTCATAATTCTGATTTTCAAGTAGCGCGAGATATTTTTGACGTTCCAATAACTTGGTGTATAACCAACCTTATTGTACAGCCGGGCACGCTGCAGTTAGAACACCAATTAATTGAGCAAATTCTCGAATAGTGCATGTGGGTAGACAAATAAACTTCTGAACTAATTGCGCAATACTGTAAAGTTTATTATCTGGGAGAGAAATGGTTAGATTCTTAGTGCAAAAGAGAAAACCTAAGAATTTACAACTTTGCTTGGGTTGGAGCGAGCTTTTATCAAAATTTATAACAAAACCTAGACATTGCAATAGTTTCAAGGTTTCATTTACGTTAGATCTGCAATCCTCATAAGTGTTGCCGATGCAGAGAATATCATCTAGATAAATTACTGAATTAAAGCCCGCGCTTCTCAAGTGAGTTACGATTTCTTTCATAATCTTAGTAAATACCCTGGGAGCCACTGACAGCCCATAGGGCATTGACGTAAACTCGTAGGTCGTGGTCTGATTGTTTCTCTTAAATTGAAATCTTAGATACTTTCTATGTTCAGCATGAATCGGAATTAGTAAGTAGGCTTCTTTCAGATCAATTGTGGCTAAGTATCCGTATTGGGGTATTAACTTTGCCGCTGTTCGATAATCTTCCATCTTGAAATGAAACTTTGAAACATATTTATTTAACGATTTCAAATTTAATATAAAACGCTTGCCGCCGTTTGTCTTGGAGGCAAGGAATATTTTAGAGACAAACTGGTCTCTACTTGGAAGACGTTCTGTTATGGCACCTAAGTCAATCAGCTTTTGAATCGCAGTTGACATTTCCTGGTGCTCTAACTCCGAAAGGGTATTGCTAGGAGAGTTTGTTTGGCAGACTTCCTTGCAAAAAGGTATGTATAGACCGTTTTGTATCCAAACTAAAATTACTGAATTGGATGAAATTCTCGTCCAACAATTAAAAAAGTATTTAATTCTACCTGCATGTACCTGAGTTACTGCGGCGCTGGGGCACGATATGATTTGGATCTACGCGTCATACGTCAATACTAAAGAAAACTGGGCTGACGCTGAATCTAGAGTTATAAACCCTGACACCGAATGGGAACTCTCCTCTTCCAGTTTTCAAACCATTGTGTCTCATTTTGGTCACCTAAATATCGACTTATTCGCCTCGCGCACTAATGCCAAATGCACAAACTTTGTTTCTTGGAGACCGGATCCAGATGCAATGGCGGTAGATGCTTTTACTATAAACTGGAGCGTATGTTATTTTTACGCATTCCCCCATTTTCCATAATATTAAATTGTTTAAGGAAAATAATGGATGACAGGGCTCACGGAATCCTTGTTTTTCCTTATTGGCCTTCACAGCCCTGGTTCCCCTTACTACAAGGGTTATTAGCATCTGATATTCTGTTCTTGCGCCCTAACAAGAATCTTTTACGATCACATTCCAGGGAACACCACCCTTTACACGCGAGCCTTACCTTGGGTGCCGCGAGGCTCTCCGGCAAGCTTTCACCCGAAGATGCCCACCAGAGGCCCTCAACCTCATGCTAGCATCGCTCTCCGATAGCACGGTAAAACAGTATAATGTTACCTATAAAGCATGGTGGCGGTTTTGTGACAACAGAAATATTAATCCATTTCAACCATCTATATCTCCTTTTTTATCCTTCTTGACTGACCAGTTTAATGTCGGTTGTTCTTACGGAAGTCTCAATTCGCATAGATCAGCACTATCATTACTTCTCGGAAATGATATTGGTTCCGACGAACATGTAAGTCAATTGCTAAAAGGAGCTTATAAATTAAGGCCGAACATTCCAAAATATACACAGACCTGGGACCCTCAAAGTGTTTTAAATCACGTTGCAGGGTGGCATCCCAATACGACTTTAAATCTGGAAAAAATTACAAAGAAATTAGCAATTTTATTAGCCCTCTGTACAGCCCATAGAGTACAAACGCTATCATTAATTAAGTTGGAAAATATATCATTTTCTCACAATAACGCTAAGATCATAATTACTGATCTAATAAAGACTTCCACCCCAGGCCGAAAGCAACCTGTACTCCTGATACCATTTTTCTTAGAAAATATATATAGAATATTTGCCCAGCTACCGTTCTAAAAGATTATATTTCTGTCACAGAAAGTAAAAGAACAGAAAACATAGCCAAACTGTTCCTCACTTACAAGCCACCACATAGACCAGCCACGACGCAATCAATCAGTCGATGGATTAAACAAGTGCTCTCGGAAAGCGGCGTGGATACGTCGACGTTTGGGGCCCACAGCACTCGCCACGCCTCTACCTCAGCTGCGGGCCGCGCGGGCCTCAGCGTTGATGTCATCCGTAAAGCTGCCGGATGGACTCCTACATCGAATACTTTTGCGTGATTTTACAATAGAACCCTTGTTGATGAGTGGAACTTTGCAAGATCCGCTTGCTTTACGTCCAATCACTAGTTTAAGATGTTTTCTGTATTCATAAATACAAAAACTAATTGTTCAAATTATCGTGATTATATAACGTTTCATGTATCGATCGGTAACTAATAAATATATTCTAAGAAATATATATTATTTTATTACAACGAAAAACTTCCTGCTCTAAAATTCTACCTGGTGAATAATTATATCTGAAAAATGAAGCGATGAAATATAATATAAGATCAAACGAACTTCTCTAGTGAAATTCGATCATTATTATATGAATCGCTTCATTTGAAGATATAAGCCATTACCCACCCTCCCATAGCAGTAGTTTGTTAGCCCTAATACGGAAAGTTTTTCTCTACACTCTCCGTCCCCGAGTCAGCGGTGGTAGGGGTGAGTCGGTTCACAGCCAACTTAGTTTAGTCAGTTGAGTGTCTTTTAAAGCGTGCAAAGTCACCTGTAGGTTAAGGGGACCACCTGGTGAATAATTATATCTTCATATGCAGCGATCAGATGAAGCGATAATAATGATCGAACTTCACTTGAGAAGTTCGGTTTGATCTTATATTATCCTTACATAATATGTTACTCTATGGTTTTATAATTTATTAACCTTATAATCATGTATATAGTTATAATATGTAATATATATATATATATATATATATATATATATATATATATATATATATATATATATATATATATATATATATTATAAATGGTGCTATTTTGAAAAAGAAATCATGTAGACAAGATTTATTAAGTATGTTTGATTACAGGCCATGAATAAAGATTGAAACTATTTATGTACCTAGTTGTTTACCTAACAGTTCTGGTACATTGACAATTTTGGGCTTATTCGCTTAGCCATTCCAGTGTTTTAACAAATATGGATTAATTCAATTAGCTGTCCCGGATCTATAACTATTGTGGACTTGGTCACCTAGCTGTCTCTTCTTTTAGTTGTTATGGACTTGTTCACTTAGCTACAATTTTTAGGAAATCTAATTAGGAAATAAGAAGGTGTAATCGTAGTTAGAACAGTTAGGATTCGATTTAGTCAAATTGGAGGTGCCAATCTCTCTACTTCCTAGATTGTTTAAAATTTAGGACAGTGTAATCGCAACGTTACGATTTAAAACAACCAGTCGGCGCCCGCGCCCCGCGCTTTGATACAAGCGGATGTCTTGAAGTTTTGATAGAAGTCTGATATCAGAGAGCAGTACTTTAAATCTTAATATTAATTTCCGGTGGCTATAAAACGTAACTACTTACGTTACTTAACGTTGCCGTGTAGTGGCGGTTGAGAATATCCTCTACCCCATATCTTCCCGTGGGTGTCGTAAGAGGCGACAGAGGGACACAGAAAGGAGATGGGCAGCAGCATCTTCCTAATAACAACAATAACAATAAAAACTCCGGTTGCCAACCCGCTCGCCAAGCGTGGCAACTATGGCAAATATCCCCCCATGAGCAACGACGCAAATAAACGGCCCTCAGTCCCCGGCGGCCCCGCTATTCCTGGCTACGGTGGCGACGGTGGGCAGGGGGTGCTAAGAATCTTCGGTGGAGGTTCGGTTGCCACCTACGACGACTCCACCTGGCAACGTATAACGCACGCACCTTGAGGACTGACTAGAAGATACTGGAGCTGGAAGAAGAGGTAGACAAGTTGCGCTGGCATATTATTGGATTATCTGAGGTCCGAAGAGAGGGGGAGGACACGGTAATCCTCGAGTCCGGCAACTTGTTCTATCACCGGGAGGGCGACCATCTGTCCCAAGGAGGTGTCGGATTTATCGTCCACAAATCTCTCGTCAATAACGTTGTAAAGATTGGGAGTGTGTCGACGAGGGTCGCGTACCTGATACTCAGAATCACCAAACGGTATTCGCTGAAGGTCATACAGGTCTACGCACCAACCTCGGCACATCCCGATGAGGAGGTGGAGGAAATGTATGAGGATATTTCCAAAGCATTCCTCCAAAACCCACTACACGGTGTTGATGGGAGACTTCAACGCAAAACTAGGCACAAGAGAAGGAGGAGAAGAAGTTAGGGAAATTAGGAGTAGGGCAACGGAACCGTAGGGGCCAGCAGCTGGATGACTTTATGGAGAAAGAGGGACTCCTTATGATGAACTCTTTCTTCCAGAAGCGGCCCCACAGGACGTGGACCTGGTCGAGCCCCGACGGTTTGACAAAAAATGAGACTGACTTCATTATGACGACCAGACGCCAACTGTTCAGTGATGTCTCAGTGATCGCAAGGGTGAAAACCGGCAGCGATCACCGAATGGTTAGAGGCACACTGAACCTAAACGTTAAGTTGGAGAGGTCTCGTCTAATGAAGTCAACGCTCCGTCCCCCCTCGTGCTCTGATCCAGAATCCCGAAACCTTTCAGCTCGAGTTACGTAACCGCTTTCAGTGCCTAGAAGATTGCAATGCAGTGGACGATATGAATGACAAGCTCGTGGAAACTGTCCATGCGGTCGGAGCTAAGTTCTGCAAGACCCGCCGTAGAAGAACACAAAAACTCTCCGATCACACTCTTAATCTCATGGCTGTTAGACGGGAGATGAGGCTGCAATCGTCAACAGATTTGACAGCATATAGGCAACTGAACAGACAGATCTCCAAATGCATGCGGCGAGACTTACGCAACTTTAATACTGCTCGTATTAAAGAAGCGATCGAGCGGAACCAGGGCTCCAAAGTCTTTGCCAGAGATCTGTCTGCCAGAAAGAGCCAACTGTCAAAGCTGAAGACTGAGTGTGGCAGCATCGTTTCCGAGACACCTGAGATTTTGAATGAGATTGAGAGGTTCTATGGGCAGCTGTACACATCATCGTTGGAACCACACGCAAGTGTGAGTAACGATCCAAGAGCAAGTCTTACCCGACACTATTCCAATGATATCCCGGACGTCAGTCTGAGCGAGATTAGAACGGCTCTCCAGCACCTTAAAAACGGCAGGGCCCCAGGCGAGGATGGAATTACAGCGGAGCTTCTGAAAGCGGGTGGAGCACCGGTACTTGAAGTCCTTCAGAAGCTCTTCAATTCCGTCCTCCATGGTGGCTCTACTCCATGAGGAGGCGTGGAGCAGAAGTGCGATGGTCTTGTTCTTTAAGAAAGGCGACAACGCTCTCTTGAAGAACTACAAACCGATTTCCCTTCTGAGCCGCGTCTATGTACTATTTTCAAGAGTCATTATGAATCGTCTCACACGCAGACTTGATTACTTCCAGCCTCCCGATCAAGTCGCTTTCCGAAAAGGCTTCAGTACCATAGACCACATACATACCCAGCGGCAGATTGTACAAAAGACCGAGGAGTACAATCTGCCACTTTGCCTGGCGTATGTGGACTATGAGAAAGCCTTTGATTCCGTCGAAATTTGGGCGGTGCTACAGTCCCTTCAGCGGTGCCAAGTTGACTGTCGGTATATCGAAGTGCTGAAGTGTTTGTACAGTAGGGCTACGATGGCTATCCGAGTACAGAATCAGAGTTCGAAGCGTATGCAACTGCAGAGAGGTGTAAGACAGGGTGACGTTTTATCCCCGAAACTCTTCACCGCTGCGTTGGAAGACGTTTTCAAGCTACTGGACTGGAAAGGATACGGTATTAACATCAATGGCGAGTACATCACTCACCTTCGATTTGCCGACGATATAGTCCTTATGGCAGAATCGCTGGAGGACCTTAGCACTATGCTCAATGACCTCAATGGTGTCTCCCAACGGATAGGTCTTAAGATGAACATGGACAAAACAAAGATCATGTTTAATGTCCATGTCACACCTATGCCGGTAGTTGTTGGGAGCACTATGCTCGAAGTTGTTGACGAGTACGTTTACCTTGGGACAAATAGTCCGACTAGGTAAGTCCAACTTCGACCGAGAGGTCAATCGACGTATTCAACTCGGCTGGGCAGCGTTCGTGAAATTACGACACATCTTCACGTCAGGTATACCTCAATCTCTGAAAACTAAAGTGTACAACCAGTGCGTGTTGCCAGTGATGACTTACTTACTTGGTACATCAGAGACGTGGTCCTTCACCGCTGGTTGTATGAGGACGCTCAAGGTCGCTCAGCGAGCTATGGAGAGGGCTATGCTCGGAGCTTCTCTGCGTGATAGACTCAGAAATGAGGATATCCGCAGTAAAACTAGGCTATTCCGTTGTTGTAGCAACAACTATACTATTAATATAACTGCAGCATGGCTCTATCACGTATAAATGTTAAGAAAACACTTCGCATTTCAGTACAGAAATCCAGCACAGTATTGTCAGTATCGTTCATACACTTCGATCTCGATGCAAGCACACACACGCACTTATGCACGTATACACGCACTTACGCCACGTACGTACACCCTACGCATACCAAGTCGGCATGCACACACGTCAAAGGTACCAATATGTGTATCAATGACAAATTATAAATTTTGGTACCAATATGTGTATCAAAAAAATGTTTTATTAGGGTAGCCCCCCTATATGTAAAGTAGGAAGTGATTTTTTTTTAATTTCAACCCTAACGTGTGATATATTGTTGGAAAGGTATTTAAAAATGAATAGGGGTTTACTAAAATCATTTTTGATAATGTCAATAATTTCGGAAATAATCGCTCCAAAAGTAAAAAACAATCTGTCCCCCCCCCCTCTAAATTTTGAACCATAAGTTTAGAAAATATGAAAAAAATGTGAAAAGTAGAACTTTATAAGGACTTTCTAGGAAAATCATTTTTAACTTGGATGGAAACAACGGTACCCACTACCGGGAGCAGTTGCAGGAGCGCGGAGCGCTGCTGGAGCGCGAACATAATGGATACCCCCCTTTAAACTCATAAGTGGGAACGCTTATTGTGACGGACGGGAAACTACGGACACGGTAATATTATCTATACAGTATTCCAACTTCATACAAACGGACGAAGCGAGAGCTATGCCTACGCGCCTCGATCTCGGCATGCGCTCGGCATGCAGACAGTCGAGACTGTGCCGCAGTCATTATTTTGTGAAATATATAAAAAAATGGAGGAAATAAGTAATAGAATATAAATAAAGAAATAATAAATCTGAACTTCGTTTAAAAAAAAACATACAAATTGTAAAGTAGCTGCAGGTATCTATAACCAATTAAAAGATATTCGTTTCTCCACGTTGTCCATGTTTCCCAAAACAATTTTTAGTTTATATTATTTTTAGCTTTATATTAGAAAGCGGATTTTTTATATTTAAAAATCTAATAATAAAGCATTTCGTAAGTCTCAGCCGAGGTGCAAATATTTTTCGGTCGCAAATTTATTTAACCGATTTGTTATTCAAACATAAACATGGTTTTTTAATTAAATCTACCAATCAAAAAACGACACGCATTTTTATTGAACACTTCCTATTCAATTCACAAAGTACCTATTTTATTTGTTTATATAAAAAGTATATTTACAATCATAAAACTAAATGGAAACACAAAGTAGGCAAATGTAAAAGTGCTGGAGGCAGGTAACCCTATCACATGTTTACGTGCCGTGCTGTAGGCATTTATTTGAAAGATACGGCCGAGTTACAATACTGTATATAGATAATATTACCGTGCTACGGAACACTACACTGAGCGTGGCCCGACACGCTCTTGGCCGGTTTTTTTTTTAGACTTGCAACGAATATTCGGCTATTATTCTGTATTGTCCTAATTGGCTTCTTTTATCTTATTCAGTCGAATACCGAATATGTAGGTAATGTTCAGCCGAATACCGAATACCTACTTAAATAAGAGATTTTATTGTAGTCAGGTAATTGGTAAAATGAAAATATTTATTTATTTTATAATTTTATTTTTGTTGTAATCATTAAAGTATTCACAGGTACACAATCAACTTCATATTATAAAAACATTCATGTAAAGAAAATATAGTTAAGTAGTCTACGTTAGTCCACGAAATATAAATTATTATTTATTAACGGAATAAACTCCTATGCTATACCCAGTTATTTAAAAAACAAACCTGTAAACATTTATATAACTTTTATACAGAAAGATTTTAATCAAATATCAATTTAATAATAAGGTCTTAATTTTATAAATTAATTTTATAATATTGAAATTTATTCTAGGTTTCAAGAGTCAAAAACAGAGAGTATGTGAAGAAATAAAGTGAAAGGCATTACATAATTTTACTCTCTTTTATTACATTATTTTATATATTTTTCATACTACACAATATGATTATAATTAACAAAATAGATTTTATTTAGTGAACAACATGTAGTTCGCATGTAGTTCCAAGTAGAAACTAATAATTATGAGGCTTTTTAACAGTAATGTAAAAATACTGATAATTGCTATAAAAAAGAAACTTAAAAAACTCATAAATGTCTTAACTAAGCCACAACATTATGATTTACACGCTTATAGTATAACGGTTAAAGATAGAATTATATAAAAGCAAATCTAAATAATATAATGCATATTTTCAACTATGTCAAGGGAGCGCTACGAGCCCATAAACCCACGTTGTTCCACAACGGCATAATATCCAGTCCTGGTTACAATATACAGCTACATCACTTATTCACAATCTTAAAAGGAAATACCCCGAATAACTTAAGCCGGCTTAGGTTA